TGAACGTACATCACCCAGTTAGGGCTGACCCCCCGAAGCTGGGAAATTATTGGGCTACTACAAGCCAAGAAGAATTCAAACTTTCACTTCCGCAGCCCAGTCAACCTTCCTCCGGTAAAGAAACAAACCATACTGGAGATGGGACTTGCCCCAGGGGAAGGCACAGAACCCGGCCAAGAATATCTTGGCCAAACCATCTCAAATCCACACTACTTGAGTGTGCGAAAGCGACAGGATGGCCTGATAATCCACGCATCAATGGCAAGTCACTTAAGCTGCATTGGGACAATGCCATGCCCATGTATGCTTACCTGACGGAACAAAATCTCCGCGACCAATTCGGGCGTCTTAAAAATCTCACACGCCGTGAGGCAGTTCAACCCACAACTGGTGCCCGTCAGGAACCTTTGCATGAGCAGAATGCTCAAGTGGCAGCAGCAGACCCAAAACTTGTAATGGATGTCCGTGTCAACCTCTTTCCTCTTTCTGATGGAAACTCTTCTGGCAGAGAGCCAATTGGCCCCGAAATGTCGGACCCTCACTCTTCCTCTTCTCTAGTTGCAGATCTTTCAGAAAATCCTGTGTATGTTTTGTTTCATTCTGTTTATGATGAAATATCTGATATAACTTTAGAAAAACGGAGGCCAATTCAACAAACAAGAGAATCTTTTCCCAAACATGAAATTGATTTATTAAATGACATTATTTCTATGAAACTTTCTGCGGACTGTTCATTACATGAAGTTAATTGTTGTGTCTACGCTGCTGCTCGAACTCTAATACTAAGAACAATACACCAAAGAAAAACTGGATAGAGTTGTGCCTGAAAATAAGATCATCAGGAAGTCCAATGTCAAAACGGCAAAAGTCAATTTGGTAAAAAAATTAAAATTACAGTACAAGACAACAAAAGAAAAGGTATTTCTCCAAATTATAGATTCTCTTAAGGCAAAAATAACAGTTTGGACTGAAAGAAAGAAAAAATGGGAAAAGAAAAAACAAATTCATCAAACAAAATAAACTTATTAGAAATAATGAAAAGCACTTCTACAGGCAACTTAAAACAAGCGGTGATGGTGAGCATGATAAACGGCCTCCCTTGGATGCCAATGAAAGGTTCTGGAAACAGTTGTGGTCTGTACCCGGCGACTGTAACCTTGAGGCACCATGGGTTCGTGATTATGACCATGCAATGCATGAGAAACTAACTAGGTCGTTTGTCTGTTACATCTCACCAGATTGCCTGAAAAGTGTTATAAAAAAAGCCCAAATCTAATACAGCTCCAGGGCCTGATGGCATTCGAAACCGGTATTGGAAACTGTTCCCCTGTGTCCAAACACCATAACTACACTGTTTCATTACTCTCGTGGACACAGGTGATGTTCCTCCATGGTTCTGCAAAGGTCGCACAATACTTCTCCCCAAGGAGGGAGACTTGACTCATACCAAAAACTTCCGCCCTATATACAATACAAAATATTCACAGGGTGTTTGACAAACCTCGTGTCATCTTATTGCTCTTCCAATTATATAATTTACAGAGAGCAGAAGGGAGCAAGAAAGGGATGTTGGGGGTGCAAGGATCAACTTCTTGTACAGAAAATGATTTTGGAAGAGGCTAAAACATATCACCGCAACCTCTCCATGTGCTGGATTGACTACAAAAAAAAGCATACGACTCTGTCCCTCACGAATGGATTCTGAAGTCTCTGCGTTGTATTGACCTCCCTGAGCGACTACTTGATTTACTCAAGTCTTTAATGAGTTGCTGGTCAACTCATCTTGAGATGTACTCGCAAGAGCAGGTGCAGACTTCGGAATCTATTCCAATCAGAAGGGGAATTTTCCAGGGGGACTCCTTCAGTCCTTTACTTTTTTGTTTGTCTCTAAATCCTTTGAGCTTTCTGCTCAATAAAGAGGAGGGTTACCATCCCGGACCTCCTCAGCACAGATCCCCAACACCACTTACTCATCTCCTTGAGTTATTGAGCATTTTGTGGAAGATCAGGCCTACACCTATCTTGGAATGCAAGTTCGAGACAAGCTCTTATCTGGGGTCACCGTACACAGACCAAGAAGTGGACGTCCACGCATCACAACGCCAACTGAAGATAGGTACCTCCGTCATTAAGGAAGGGGGGTAACGTTTCTTTTGGCGTTTAATGTACTTGCTTTTTTTACAGTAAAAGAAGAGTCAATAAAAACACCAAGTTGTTTTTACATGGGGCGAGACAGGAATCAGATACTGTCCAATTTTCAGTTGGCTTAGGCGGGATTTTTGCTGTCTAGAAGGAGATTCGAGTATGATGGCCCCTGTCTTTTCATCATTTAATTTAAGCATGTTGGTTGACATCCAGGATTTGACATTGTTAAGACAGCTTTCCATGTTATTTAGAGATGCCATCTGGTTTGTTATGATGGTCTAAAACTGTCAACCAGCTGGGAGTCATCGGCGTAAAAGTGATGAGCCACATTGTGCTCTGATATCAAGTGTCTCAGTGGTCCAGTGTACATGTTGAATAAGTTCGGACCTAGCACAGACCCTTGAGGGTCGCCACTTGCCTAGAACTTCTCTATGGGAGATAGCTTTGTTGATCTGGACAAACTGTTTCCTATCTGTAAGGTATGACGAACATCATTCCAGGACAGTGCTGCTCAAGCCATAGTCATATTCTAAACGACTCAACAACCTTGCGTGATCAATAGTATACGTTAAGCAGGACTAACATGGTGATGTATCCAGAATCAACAGACATCTTTATGTTATTCAATACGCAGTTCAGAGCAGTCTCAGTGCTGTGTGACACTCTATATGCAGACTGATACTTTTGTAGCTGTTCAAGAAGGTGTGCTTTGACAGCTTTTCCCAGAATCTTTGACGTGAGTGTCAAGTTGGATACCGGACGGTTGTTACTTAAGATTTGAGCATCAAGAGATGGTTGCTTGATTAATGGTTTGATAACTGCCTTCTTCAAACATAATGGCACTGTTCCTGTAGACAAACTGACGTTTACGATCTTCGTTAGCACAGGAAGAAGAAGAACATGTTACAATGGTCAAGTCATAATCCGAACAGAGGAGTGTTGATATCCTGAGCATTGATGAAATGCAGGTTTCGGATCCGAGCTTTCTTCTCTGATGATAGGAGGTCTGCTAAAGTTAAGATGACACGTGGTCATAAAATGATCTGACATCTGTCGATCCTCGACTGAAACTCCAAGAACAATGTTGTCATCTCTAGACACTAGCCAGTCAAGGACATGGCCATGTTTGTGTGGGGGCTCAGCGACATGTTGCTTTAAGGCAAAAGCTTCACACACATTTTTTGTCAGTGCATTTTCATTTTTGTCAAACTGGACATTGGAGTCTCCAAGAATCAGGTAAGTTCCAGTCTTGCCATCTAAATAATCACACAGTGATGAAAACTATGTAAAATATAGTTCGTTCCAGTTTCAATCACGAAGTGAAACTGATTAAAGCGTCATCGCTATACCAGATATAACTGCTTTTTTACACTTACTTTATGAAAGGTATACTCTATATTCAACAGATGTTATTGAGCCACTGTAAATGGAGGTCGCAGCATCGAGCTAAATCGATTATCGCCTTATTTGTTCTGCGACTTATTTGTTTTGTGCCAAGTATTGGAATTTCTATTCGAAACACTGAACACATAGTTGAATGTCCTCCAATTTACAGGGTGCACTCTAAATCGATGCAAGTACACATTACATCTAATATTTAACAACTTATATCGCGCTTCTGTAATTAGACATAGGACGATCGAACTAAATCAATTTCTTCATAACCTGTTTCAACGATTCTTAAGCTGTTGTTTTATGCCAAGACTATCACATGCGACAGACAACTTGCAGGCTTACCAAGTAACATTCCCAGCGTTCAAACTTGAGTATGGCGAGACATGCTGTAATTGTATATGTTAAATGCATCATTCAGATTTGGATGATTGTAATTTTGAGCTCCACAGCAAAGAGTTTAAGAGAACGACTTTTCCAGCGGACAGCAGTTGCGATTCCAGTCCGTTTAGATCGACCTCAACGTCTTCAACAGCATACGGTTTTGGAGTTGACAGATTGTGCTCGATTGTGTTCACTTAGCACATCTTGTGTTGACTTGCAGTACTCAAACACAAGTGGAGTCTGCATCACTGGACACACTGAAGAAGTATCTGATGGCCAAATTTCCCAGAGTGGACCGTTTGACTTGTACAGACGGTTGTTTGAACTGGTACAGTATGTATTGACGCAGCAAATTTTTGTAATCAACTGTTCAACTGAAAGAAACTCATTACTGATAACATCTGGTGCAATTAATACTGGTAAATGTCAATTCAGTTGACAGCAAATTTGAAAATCAGTCAGTCAACTAAATTCTGATTCATTGAGAAAGGAACCCACGAATCCGTTGGATTTGATCAGATAAAAACATACATTACTGACTTCAGCACACTTGTGTATGTTTGTCCCAGGCGTGTATGTACCTCGTTTTAACGCCGCACTCAGTATTATTAAAACTATGTGGCGGTGACGATGAGATACAATCATAAACAAAATTCTGTGCCATCGTTTAATGTTTTCAAAATTTAAGATTATACGTAAAGTCAAATGCTTGGGAACACAGATCCTGCTGGGAAACGGCTAAGTCTAATTGCAAATAACCTTGTCATATTAAACGTTCGTGAAGAAAAAATATTAACACGCCCCTGGGTGAGATGACATGCTGTTTACCAGACCGTTGATCACGCAATTCAATGCATTAGCATTGGTAGCTGGAACCAACCCCAAACCAAGAATCAATTACAGTTTTGCATATTAATGTCTCGAGACATTTTCAGCATACAACCCCAAACCAGTTTCTAAGTTTTCTGTCTGTTGGATAAATGCATATTAATGAAAACAATAGATTTATTGAATGCATAGGGTAATAAAACCTAGATATAGATGGATGGATGCATGCCGAAATACATAACTGTGTGAACATGTTTGCCAACATTTCAGATCCTGAAACATGCTTTGAGGTCAAACATAACAACCCCACAGCTGAGAGCGGGGACTACTACATCCATCCTTCAGCTCCACAGTTCCAGGGTTTGTCTGTGAAGGTCTTCTGTCTGATGAATGACACACACCAGCTGGAGTACGTCACTCTGCCCAACAGGAACTTCGGACACTACCCGAAAAGGTCCAATGGGAATTGTCTAAATGAACAGCCAATTCTAATAGAGCTTGGTATTGGCAACGGTGGTGTAACGGATTACCAAAAGATTAGGATCCACCCATCAGTGAGTTAACAATGGATCAAAGATCTTAGTTATTCCTTAATTAGTTTTTAACATTGATGTGCTGTGCATCGGAAGGAGAGTCTGACTGAGGAGAGTGTGAAAGAGTGAATTTGGACGAGTGATGTATTAAACATATTTTTATGTTCGTTGACTGGTTGTCAACGCAGAGCTCATCCATTACTTCAACAATATGTTGGTTGCACACCAACTGTGCATTACTGTTCAAAATATATAAAACATACATGTAAACCATATGCAAAAGAAACGCCGTTGGCTGTAAGGGATGGGCACCAGCAGTGAACGGGTACCCGGTAGGATAAGTCATATGACTGTTAACCTTCTAGCGCTTCACAGGTAGCTTGGGTATCTCGGGTAATGATGTGCTAGTGCTTTGAGCATGCACAAGTGCGTGGATACAGGCGCTATATCAGTAGCCATTGTTATTATATGAAGAGCTTAGCCTGGCGAGATTGGCAAAATGACTGCAGCTTATAGAAAAACATCTTTAACCAATTAAGCGTAATTAATATATTGTAACAGCCAAGGGCGAGTGATAATACCATATCACATTTCTGTTCCCTTAGACCATGACAGTTGTCACAACTGACACGACCTTCGCCAGCGGGAACAAGACGACGCCTCTACAGTACGGTGAAGCAGAAGATTGTTACTCGTATACAAGTGGCTGTAAGAAAATAGGAACTTTTCACATCAACACACTGGGAACAAGGATGCGGTTTAAGAACGATGTAGGTTTTCAATTTGTGTCAGAATAGATGTAAGGAATACAATAGTTTCAAAGTGCTGAGAGTCATTTAACGTCCTGTTTAGCAGTGTTCCGTCCGTATAACTGCAGTCTGTAAAACTGCAGCTGTCCATAGAGTGATCACCCAATCCAGTTAGTCACCTCATACTATAGTCCGTTTTGCTCAAAAGCGGACCGATGAATTGCAATGTAACTCGAAAACTATTAAACATGTAATACTCAATGAAACACTGATCATAATCAAAACATCAGACCAACTCTGTGGTTTGTTTGCAGAATTAATGTCCTTAAATTAAAAAAGTTGTTTAACAAACTATCATTAAAATTTTGACACAGTTCACTATTTGTTACGAGGGACATGTGCAGAGAAAGGGACAGCCAGTGGAGGAGGAGGGAAGGGAGAGGGGGAAGGGGAGTAGCTTAGTGGTTAAAGAGTTCGCTCGTTACGACCAGGGTTCGATTCCCCACATGGTTACAATGGGTGACGTCCGTTTCTGGTGTCCCTCCGCCGTGATTTTGCTGGAAAATTGCTAAAAGCGGCCTAAAACCCAAACTCACTCACTCACTCACTCATAAGCGGATGAATGCGAGTTGCATTTGAATGTTGACATGACTCTATGTCTGTTCTCTTTCTTTCAAGCTGACATGGGATGTTAAATCGGATGGCTTCAAACCTCTTGTGCAAAACATTACACGTCAACAGAACGGCGCCATCATTGACGTTGTTTGTGGAGGATGGTGCGGTGGGTGCCGCCCCAAGGGGGACATGGTCCTGTACCCGAACAGTCTGGACAAGGAAACAAAGGACAACATCCTGAAGTCATCACCATGAGTGACTGCTGTAGGAGTACAGGAGTACAAGAGTGGCAGCTGAACGGTATACAGACACGGATGTTTTTGTTCTTCGGAAATCAATAAATCGTTATTTTATGTGTTTTAGGCCTGGTTTACCTTAACACTCTTCACTTAAGACTTTATTTGTCAAACCAAGTGTATATATTTTCTCCCGGAAATGACATCATCAAAAGGGGATTTCAAAACGTTTCAGGGCAGTGAGAAGTGAAAATAGCTCTATTCCGATTTGTCAAATACTACTGCTCTTACTGCATAGGGTTAATTAATGTTCGGAAACGTAAATCAATTTGATCGATTTTTTTTCTTCTTTTCTTTTCGGCTGCCAACGGTACAAAAGACCATTTATGAGTAGGGCGGGCGCCTCTAGTCTGCGGAATATGCTCACATGTTTGCTAATACTCTGTATAAGCACAAACTGATGACAAGGATTCTTGATTGTGTAAATGTTGTGCATTGCTGTCAATGGTGTCATCTTAATGATTTTTAAGTATCTCTATAAAGTCTTTTTGTGTTTTTGCACAGGTTGTGCAGAGTAATTTTTCTTTCAAGCTTTTTCCACATAAATTTAACATCTTTAGTTGAACATGACTCAGAGTCCATTTAGTGGCATTCGTTGAAGATGTAAATGTTCATAGGCAAAGACGTTGACGTGGAAGACGCAGAAATTGTATGTACGACATCTTGTACTGTGAAAACCCAAGTTTTTTTATTGATTGTAAAACCCACCTGCTTAGAAACATCAGTAAACCGAATATAGTTAATTAGAACCATTTAAATATGCAGCACTGCACATTGACCCTCTTAACTACTCCTTATACACAATCAATGGGTGTACTCACTGTGTCAATTTAAGCATGTGTATACTTTTGCAATATCAATAAAATTCTCTTAAAACATCATGCCAGAGTCATATCTTTTGCACACTTCATTGGGTACATTATGTGATGGTAGCTAGGTTTCTCCGCATGATATACACATGGACAGGATTAAGGAAACACACTATTATGGTATCAGGAGGCGGTAGCGCAGCCGGGAGGTTAAAGCGTTAGCTCGTCATGCCAAAGACCCGGGTTCGATTCTCCACATGGGTACAATTTGAGAAGCCCATTTCAGGTGTCGTGTTTCACTTACAGCGTGTCAAAATGTCTCAGTGTGTCACATTCAGTGTGTCAACGTGTCTTTGTGTGTCACTTTCAGTGTGTCACTATGTCTCTGTGTGTCACTTTCAGTGTGTCAAAATATCGCCGTCTGTCACATTCTGTGTGTCAACGTGTCTCCGTGTGTCTCATTCAGTGTGTCAACGTGTCTCTGTGTGTCACATTCTGTGTCATCATGTCTCCTTGTGTCTCATTCTGTGTGTCAACATATCGCCGTGTGTCACAATCAATGTGTCAACGTATCGCGTGTGTCACAATCAGTGTGTCAACATATCGCCGTGTGTCACAATCAGTGTGTCAACATATCGCCGTGTGTCACAATCAGTGTGTCAACATATCGCCGTGTGTCACAATCAATGTGTCAACGTATCGCGTGTGTCACAATCAGTGTGTCAACATATCGCCGTGTGTCACAATCAGTGTGTCAACATATCGCCGTGTGTCACAATCAATGTGTCAACGTATCGCGTGTGTCACAATCAGTGTGTCAACATATCGCCGTGTGTCACAATCAGTGTGTCAACGTATCGCGTGTGTCACAATCAGTGTGTCAACATATCGCCGTGTGTCACAATCAGTGTGTCAACATATCACCGTGTGTCACATTCTGTGTGTCAACGTGTCTCTGTGTGTGACAATCAGTGTGTTATCGTGTCTCCGTGTGTCACTCTCAGCGTGTCATCATGTCTTACTCTGTTATGCTTCTTTTCTTTTCCTTGTTGGTAGTATGTTTAAATCAGCGTAAACCCGACTGACACTCAATGACGCAAGGCATTTTGAAATAAAGATGTGTCCAAATGTCGAATATGTAATCCTGGATTGACTATACTGATATATGAAGTTATATATGGCACTACATTTTGATTGTTGTCACACTGGGCTCGTAATAGAGGTGTTCAATCTGGGCTAACCGATGGCTTTGTCCTACTTTTGATTGGAGTGAGTGAGTTAATATTTCTCGTAACATCGGCAATATTTCAGCCATATCGTGACGAAAATAATCATTTTTCATACTAAAGATGAATAAAATTAGAAACTAAAACCTGTTGACGATGAACAGTAAATATACTCAAGTATCATAGATACGGTGAAACTAGCATGCAATCATAAAACGATATTATAGAGAACGATGCAATACAAAAACAATTTGTGGATCGCCAGCAACTGAAGGTAGACCACCATACTAGGGTCCATGGGGACTTATGGTACTTTTGCTACCTGCATGGACCCTAGCTGGAGTTACATCATGCCTCCAGGTGTTGGCGACTGTTAGCAAACAAGCCGTACATAAAAAGAACAAGTATGTAACTATTAAAATTCAGAGAATGAAAAATACTTTGAATGAAATGGGACTTGTGTACTGTCTCAAGAGACAATTATTTTACGCTACTTCAACCAACTTTGAAGGCACAGTCACGAACAATCATAGTTATTTAATCATTCTGCTGAAAGAAAATCACTGACTAATTACAATACATTTCAAAATCTGTCTATTAATTCCGTTTAAATACTCAATAATTAAACGCAGACTTGCATTAAACCGATCCTTTTATTGATGAAACTAAGCAATATCGATCCCTGGTAATTGAGAAATCAATACAGTCAAGCAGGACATGCTTGACCGTGGTCCTTTCATCAGAAGAGATACAAGACGGAGGATCAGCTTTTAATAAATGTTCATGTGTATATCTTGAATGGGCAATACGACAGCGTCGTATAATGACCTCCTCAAATCTGGAATGAATAGTTGACATCGACTTGGGTGTCCCACTTCTTTTGCATTAGGTCCCGTATGTAACATCCAATGACAGGTTTACAATCACTGTATGGGACCAGAAGTGGAGATTGCTGATTTAGCTCTTTTGTCTAGAGGCACACATAGTTGATATCAGAGTGCCCTTTACACCCAGGCGTTCACCAGCAACACTGGTTACACAGTGATAACCCAGTAATTGTACACTTGTAGTTTGCTCCAGCCAGTCAGTGCCATAAAGCATCGCGACATACAGAGGGGTGCACGTTCACATCTCTCTAACGGACAATCACTTCTCAACGGATTTTGTACAATTCCAAGATGAGCGTGTTTAAAAGTTTTTCCTTGTTGCTGACATGTACCTCCCTGATCTGCTTTTGTAACAGTCAGGACAGTTTTGTGTCTGTCATACGCAAACTGGACCAGTTTGAGGAAGATCTCCTTGATAACAAGGCTGATGTGCTCCGTGTAGAGAAGAGGGTGCTTAACATCATCGATGTGGCTAAAGCATCATTGAGAGCTGAACTGAAGGAAAACATACGGGAGCAAGTGCGGGAAGCCATGACCGAGATTTTACAGGGAGATTCTCTTCAAGATATGATACAAAGTGAGGTTGTCTCTGAAGTGCGACATCTGAAACAGGGTTACCGTCAGATGAAAAGACAGATACATCATATGTCACGATCCTTAAAAGACTTCCAAAACGGGACGGAAGTGTTTCACGAATCTGTCCTGAAGAAGGTAGATATCTGGAATGGAGAGGACTCAAGTGACGTGTGTGTCAGAGATAAGCATAAACTGGAATTAGAACTACGGAAGTGTGATGTACATATTGCTGATCTCAAGGCTGATAATGAGCGCTTCAAAAAATTAAACGAGAAGTATCAGTCCCAGATATCCCAACTGAAAACAACAGTTGCTGTGCTTTCTTCTTCCATAGCACCTCAACATGTTAACTCTACATCCAGGTCAACAGGGTCGTCAACGTCAGTGACGAGAACCAAGCCACCTCTGACGACTCCCAGGCCACGTTTGTTGGGAACGTCATTGACGGCACCCAGACCATCGGTGTTATCAGCGACGACACTGAGGCCTCAGGAGGATGAGAGCAGGATCCTGATTGCTCCACTTGAATTTTACACTGGTCTTCATTTCCGCCAACTCAGCATCCCCAGTAACACCCTCAGTGTCTACAAGTATCACGCTATGGCTTCGGTTACAGCTCTTGCCTACATAGCAAAGACAAACAAACTGCTGATAGGATTGTACAACCCTGACAAAATTCTGTCATCTACCCTGGATACAAGTAACGTGACAGTACTGATGGAAGGTGTATATGCAACGGGCATGGCCGTGGATGAGGGGCGGGACATCATATTCATATCCACATATCGACCTCGGTACTCTATCAGCCGAATGTCTACAGAGGGGGAGGACTTTACCAACATTGTTGGCTTATCTGGGTATGGCCGCATCCCAAGGCAGATAACTCTTGATACAAGGAGAAAGAGGATATATGGGTGTAGTAAACGGAAGCTGTTCACAGTAACATATGATGGTCAAGGTCTGGCAACATTAACAACAGGAACAGCAATATATGCGTTAACCCTGGATCAGACAGCTGGTGTGTTGTATTATAACGATGACAAGAAACTGATGAAGATGATTATGTCCAATTATTGGAGAACAGAGGTGACCACACTCAACGTCATTCCTTGGAGCATGAAACTATACAGAGGCATCATCTACATGAGCGGGTTATATCCTCTCAATATAGATGCAGTTAATGTTTCCAACAACACAGACGCATATACTCTCCAGTCCATAGAACTGGATGGTGTTAGTCAGTTAACTATGTGCTTGATTCCTTGAAATGTATAATGGAGATTCTCCAAAGAATTTGGAAAGTACTTGATTCGGATTGGTCAATCAGAGGTTATAAACCTCATGAGGAACCTCTAATTGAAATAGCTGATTTGACGACAACATCGCCGAAGAGGCTATTATTTTATAAATCATTTGTCATTTATTGTTGATTATGCATTGTAGTTTACAATCTGCTACAGAAGTTGGATGAAAAACAAGATAGAAATAGCCTAATGTGTTAACGATAGTTATTCTTATGTGATTTGTGCAGGGAGTAGATAGAAGCTTGCCATTGTCAAAACAATTGTTGACTGAGATGTCTTAACGTCAAACAATTACCCATGAATTGGGCTATATTTGTTTTTCATACAAACCAATATCATCTAATAATTGCCTAGTAATGGTTGGTCCAGCTATTACTTCCGTTTAAAAAGTTGTTGTAACATATACTTCTTTGTTATGCAACTGGGCCTAGATTTTCGAAGCTCTCTTACCGCTAAGATAGTCGTAAGTCTATGTTAATGTATGGCACTTACGACTATCTTAGCGCTAAGAGAGCTTCGAAAATCTAGGCCCTGGTATTTAGCTTACAATAAGCACTCTATTAGCCTTCGCCATGAACATTCATCATTATATACGACTTCAAATGATCATTAACAATCGATGGTAAACATTCATCCAACAAAATGTTCGTCCCATCTTTCCCTTTGTCATTTATTTATGAAAATGGTTCCCAAGGCAACCATTCGCACAATATATGAATATGATCAAAGAGGCTTTCCTATGGGCAATTCGTGTTCGTGTAATTGTATCTTTCAGTCTTAGTGAAACTTGGTACCTTTTATGGATGGACTGGGACATCCCAATGAACACAATATCCCGTGAATAACGGAAAAATCACTGACGTCTCATCACTGTGACGTCACAGCCCGAACTCTGCCGAGGCTGGCATTACGATATGCAGACGTGCAGGTTGTGTGATTACAGTTGTTGGGTGCTCTTTAGTTAACAATAAAATCAATAATGCATTCTTCTTGTCTTTTAATAAGTATACTTTGTTTGACCATTTAA